CACCAATTAAATAAAGTTGACATGGTTAAATAGATAATTACAAAAATATCCTCTAAATACCTACATGGACATGGGCTCCAGCAAGCATTTTAAGGGAACATACGTGACGTCTGAGGATGTTGCATGGATCAAAAAAAATCTAATATCAAGCCCAATCCTCCTACATTAGCAAATAGGAGTAGCCACGGCTCGAGTTATCAAATAAATGTACGATCGTGATGTCGATCGAGACATTTATTTTATATGTTCATATTATGCCTTCAAGGCATATAAATAAGAAAAATTCATTAATGAAGGCATTACGCCTATGAAGAACATGATCTTCTGTCAGTAAGCAAATAGAGTCGATAAGATTCAATCAATAAAATACAATTGTCTATGAATACCATGATGATGACCTTGTTGAATGATTATCGCAATTGAAGGGGAATACAAACACTTTAAAAATGCCACTCAAATACCCACAAAATTCAAAACTCCATGAGAATATCAAAATCCAAATATTTAAAATAAAATTTCAATCATCAATAACTTAAAATAAAACTTATCCATCCTCCGTAATAATTTAGCAAGGTGGATAAATTTAAATATCACTTCACCTCACAAAAAGCTAATATCTGATCGAGAATATCACTATGATTCATTCTCAAATAGTCTTTTATAACAAGGATATGACACATATCCTCTAACCAACGATTTTTTCCACTAAATGGCACCACAAGTAAACATTTATGACCAGAGCCCTATGAACCGAGTGGTCTGCCAATAAATGGAACCACTAAATTACGGTCATGGCTAGAGCTCATGTACTCCCCAATTGCACTAAATCTTTGAGATATGAATCAATATAATATGATTGATCAGGTATAAAGCCCTCTATTAGCTAAGGTGAATTCAAATTTATCCCCTTAGATAAATATTCACCCCAAGTCTACAAGATTCCCTTGGATGACGCAACCCATGACTACCAACAAGAATCTACTATTAGTTTGGGTTGACTACCTCCTTTGACTAAGTAGACCAGGGACCACGATGGCCCAGGATGATGAAACCATGAAATCTTGATCGGGTCCATCATCCCTCCCCCCACCATCCGCTTTAAGTGCAAGATGGATATTAAATTTCTAAATATCAACCCATGTTACTACTATACACCAAATAAAATGTATATATATGTATCTATTTTGATGACTAGCCTTAATGAAAAGTTCTCTCATTATCAAAAGTGGGAATTAATTATAGGGGCTTGAGCTTATAGGAAACTAGAACTCAAATCTAAAGTCCTTGCAAAATGAGGGCAAAATATTTGGGTAGGATCTTATTTCGAACTCAATTTGTCTTCTAAAAACTTACCATATAACCTAATTCGTTAAAACTCCCCCCAAAGCAAGGGAGTTCGGGGTGAAATGTTTTGGATCCCACACCCACAATTGTCCCTCTCACCCGTATTGCCTAATTGTAGTCTCTCCGACCTCCATGGAAGACTGATTATGATCCTTCTAGCTTTCTTTGCTCACTAACCTCAGTCGCCCAACTATAGTCCCTAACCTTTGTCACCCAACTATGATCCCTTTGTCCACTATCTCCCGATTACTATCCCTTTGACCATCGTCGCCCAACTATAAGACCTTCAACTATTGTCACCTGACTATGATCCTCTTAAGCGCCATCGCCCAACTATAGTCCTCAAACCACCATCACCCAACTAAGGTTCCTCCAACCTCCGTTGCTCTACTATGATTCTTACAACCTCCATTTGCGCCCAACTACGGTCTCTTAGAACACCATTGCCCAAGTACGATCCCTTCGACCATTGTCTCCCTACTATCCCATTAACCTCCGTAGTTGCTTGTCGACTATGGTCCCTCCGATCTCTGTCACCTAACAACAAACCCTCCAACCTCTATCGCCCAACTATGGTCCTTTCAAACTCCGTCACCCAACCGTCGCCCCTCAACTAGGTTCCTCTAACCTCCATTGTATGACCATGGTCCCTCCAAATACCATCTCTCAAACAACTGTCGCTGTATAATGATCCCACCAACCTTTGTTACCTGACTACAATCCTTCTAACCTCTATCACCTGCTGACTATCATCCCTCAAACCTATATTGCCTAATTAAGATTCCTCCAACCTCCATCATCAACCGACTACATTCCATCTAGCCTCCGTTGCTCAGCAAATGTGTTCCATCTAACCTTAGTTACTCGACTATAGTCATTGACCTCCGCCACTCGGCTATAGTCCCTTTGACCTTCATCACCCAACACAGTCCTTTATATATTTGTCTCCTAATTGAGGTCCCTCCGACTTCCATGATCTGCCAACTAACCTTCCACCAACCACCGTACGATCACTCTGACTTCAATCACCAAACTACAGTCCCTTCGACCACTATCACCTGACTACAGTCCCACTAACCAAAAGAATAGGCCAGCGATCACATGAGAATAACTTTCATGTCATTGAATTCTTCCAAATCCATCCATATAATGTGCTCTATACAATGTTTATTTGCTACATTGAGTCATTGTTTTCCCCGAGGAAGAGCATCATTTATAATGAACAATAAACATTAGTGAAATTATTTTAAATGAGCTAGGCCCTGTGATTTTTTTTCTTTATTCAAGTTTTTAGGTAAAAAAACTATTATTTTTTATTATTGTTGCTCACCTCTTTTTTATCTGTATGTGTGTTAAATATTTGTTCAAAGTTAAAATTTTAAGCTCTTTCTTTGTCTGTTATCGCAGATGTTCCGGCACGAAACAAATCAAAAATTTAATGGGCTATTTCAACTAAATTTTGGTTTGAAATGTTTCTTACTACTACAAGGACATCATTTGAGGAATTTTACCACCAATTATCCCGTTTTGCCCTCCACAAAAGGCTAAGGACAATGAGATCTAACATTGAATCTTACTCTTAAGAACAAAGTCAATCATTTATCTCAAAATACAGATTTTTATAGAGAAGAATAAAGGAGGATTATCGCGTTGGAAAATAACCAATATACAATAGCTGAGGTCAAGCACAATAGGGAATCTTCTTCATGCATCCATTAATGAAAATGAATGGGTTTCACAGCAAGCTAAAGCTGTTTGTCTTCCTAAATAAAAGGATGAATCATCATTTCTGTCAAAAAAAAAAAAAAAAAAAAAAAAAAAAAAGACAGAGCAAAACTAAATCGCAAGTTCTTTGAAAAAACGGAATAAACTTTTCCTACTAGGAAATATATACTGAAACGACGATTTTTTTTTTTAAATATAAATATAACCTTAATTTAAAATTCATTTCCCATCAAATTCAGCTAACAGATTCCTTGTCGGACGCACCTCCTCTTGAAGATCAAAACATGTTTTTTTTTTTTTTAGATCCCAATTCCATGTTGATTTACTATCAAAATCTTCCCCTTATATCAAAATCGTAACAATTCATCTCAATAAGATATATAACTTAGGATCTATACTTTAGTATTCGGTTAATACTTGTAATAGAAATAGTGTAAATGTGATAATAAATAAAAAAAATTGATAGATAATATTGTAGAACTTATGGAATAGAAGATAAAATTATAAATTTAAATATTATTATTGCCATTAAGATAATTAATATTATAAATATTTATGCTTCTCAAATAAAGTTGAATATATGTTCAAAATTAAAATTTTAAAATTATTTAAAACTATTATTAAAACAAAAGATACATCTTGAATAAAAAAATTATTAAAAAAAATTAAATAAACATTAATATGATGGTAGAATATTTTAAAAGTATTTATGATGATTATGTATTTAAAATGATTAATAAAACTCATAAGATCATATTATTTTGTAATTATTAATATCTTATTTAAAAAAAAAAAAGAAAGGAGCATCTCATTACTTACAAAAAATAAATATTATAAAACTCAAATTGATTTTCTCAAAAAATATATATAATTTAAATTGCAAAAACTATAATGCCACTCCATGTCAACATTTATGTAGCATTGCTCATTAATTTTAGCCTTTGAGGTGAGAGCACGACGTGTAAAAAATAAAAGTAAAATATTATTTTATGATTAGAAGAAAACAATTAATGAACTTTAAATAAAAATATTTTTAAAAGTAAAAATTCAAGATCTCAAAATTTGAATTGTTGATAAGGGAGCTAATATTATATGATAAAAACTAACTAATGATACAAAGAAGATTGCAAAATACATCTTTTGAAAATCAAAAGGAACCTAATAATATTAAAAAGTTAATGAATGAATAAAAATGTGCAAAAATAAATAAAAATAAGAAACTTTATTATTAAAATTAGTTTAAATACAAAAACTAAAATATTTGAGAAACTTATAGAGGACCGAAGGGACTTTAAATAATAATATATAATGTAAAGAAATTAGTTTTTACTGAATTATATAATATATTAGTTCCTAAAAATGATGAATTATATATGTAAAAGTTAGCTAAGTAAACAAATATGAGAAGTAAAAATCAAGTTAACTAAGTGAATCGATATTTCAATAGTCTCTTCAATAAAAATTATGAGAAAAACTATGAGAATACGATTAATTTTAATAAACATAACACCCTAGCAAAGCTCCCAAACTTGTATTGCCCAAAGATTGAACTTTCAACAAGTCTTTCAGAATGAATGGGGGCCACCACCCTATTCCACTCTTAGCCGCCTCTTTCTTCGCTGCCATTCCAAGTTGCAGGCTAGCTTTAGGAATTTGATTCTTTAAAGTTATCCCCCTCAAATAAATACTATAGCTCCGGACTATCGGGGCATTCTTAACTCTTCTCTATTTCGGATAGTTATTTTTTGGATATGAGCTGATCGCATTGACTACCTGTTCTAGCTATGGATGTGAAATTTTGTGCATTAATCAATCATTAAATTTCTTGAAATTTGACTCGCAATATTACCAAAAAATAGTAAGGGCATTTCCAAATTTCAAAGCAACACGTAATAACTGACATTACTAAAGCCAATATAAAAGCCGCAAAATAAAATAAAATAAACAGGCGTGCACAAATAGCAGAAAATGTTCACGTAAAAAGCATTCTGGTGAAATCCAGCATAACGAAGCATTCGGGGCAATTACCTTTCAAAACAGTAACCACACTAACGCTGGTTGGAGTATTGGAGATGAAAACATGAAGAATAATTAAAAATAGCTCATAGTTTGATTGCATGTTGGAGAAAATTAAAAGGCTACTAAGCCACAAAAGTACTTGCCATTGAGAAGTCACTCCATATTTTTCCTAAGCCACAAGAGTACTGGCCGTCGTGGACTCACTGCACAAAAAGCCAAACAAAGATGTAAGCCTTATCATCTTTAGAAGTTTAGAAGCCCTGACATCATCACAGCTTGAAGTATGTATTGCAGTTTAAAATACAATATCAGCAAATACTAGTAAGAGGCCTCCATCAGTCCATTCATTCAAAAGATAAAGATTAATCTCAAAACTCAAGCCAAAAAAATACTTGATTTTATTAGAAATGCATTCAAGTAAAAGCTCATAAAACAAACTGCGTTAAAGTCATTCAAATAGGTGCCCATTTTGCTGGAAGATGAAAACAAATAAGTTAATTGGCTAACAAATCATATAAGAAACCAAATAATGCAAGTCACTCAATTGGCTAACAAATCATATAAGTTAATGTTTATACATAAATGTCTTCATAGGTGTTCTAACAAATAGTTACGGGGGGCATAACAAGGACACTTGCTCAAGAAGAGTTCCATTGGATTACTTGCCTGAGCCAACCAAGGATTTGCCCTATAAAAGGAGAATTGGAGATCATTCATCAGGCAAGTAAATCGTCACTTGCTGATACTTCAATCATTACCTCTCATCTTAGAGATATCATCCCCTCATTCAGGCTCAGCTACCATTTAGGCTCAGCTACCAGCATGCCCTTACCTAAGGCTCCCTACTCGCACTACCAACACCATCCACAAAGTATTATCTCAGCTACCTCAGTTGCATTCGCCCATTCTCTCACGATGACCCAAGACTCAGCATAGGTTCCCTCAAATCCCAACCCACAAGTTCGTCCAACTCCACTCCAGCTTGCAGACTCACCATCTACCTCACTTGCTCATAGATGAATCCTCCATATCATCCCTCTTGCCAATTAGGAGATGACACATGTAATTGTAGTGTGGCATTGCACATGCAATTTATGTAGCATTTTATCTTACTATTTTACTTTATGTAACATTTCCTAAAATCTTATAAATAAGGGATGACGGGAACAAATTTTAGAGAACCTAGAAGAAATACAAAAACAAAATAATCTCTTCGACTAGCAGGAAAAACTCTACTTGTTTGAGATCTCCAATTCCCCTCCACTCTTTACTCTCACTCACATATTTCTCAACACTTCGAGTAACGCCACTAGTAGAGTCATGTGTCATCCACGAACAAATCTGAATTCAACAACCTACTAGGTGTGCAACGAGCCAACCATTAAAAAAGCGGATAAGGCGTCAATATTGAGTCGCGCCTCAAGTCGAGGTGAATGTCATGCATATCGGGGCTTACGCCTCGAACCATCCAGCAAAGCCTACTATTTTTTCGCACGAGGCGTACGCATCAGAGCGTAACGCCTCGAGGCAGTACGAGGCATCGCCTCGAAATTTTTTCTTTGGTATATATGCAAATACGACGCAGCCGATTCGTGTTCGTGTATTCGCGTATAGGATTAGGGCTTCCTGTGAGAATTGAAAGGCGAACTGGAAGCGAAGACATGAGGGAAAGAGACAAAGCCGTGAGTGCAAGAGACAGTCGGAAAGAGACAACGCAGGAAACGAACCCGAAAGAAATAACGGTTTTGAAAGAAGGAAACGAAGCCGAAGTTGTGAGTGCAAGAAAAGTTCAGGCCTCGGTTAGGTCGGAAGAGCAGGTGAGCGGTGTTGTGGGCCTTGACTTTGACGTGCAGTAACGAAAGCTTGAATAACTCCTGATTCGGCTTTCTTTCATTCGTCCGCTCAGTACATGCTCAATACTGCTAGGTAACAGCGTCCCCTTAGACCCCCGGCAGACCGGTATATTGTTCTATTCATGTTGTCTTATTATTGGTAGTACAAATAATTGTTAAAATCTGTCCTATTGTTGATTTTGTGTTGTGATTTCTTGGCCTATGAATAAATAAATATCTTGCATATATCAATAATTTGATGTTGATTATTTATTTCTATAAATTATTACCATGACTAGTGGCACAAGAAGGAAGGATCTTGCATGGAAATATGGAACTCAAGTTGAAGTGCCAGGCGAAGGAGCAAAGAAGTAATATGTTTACATGAAATGTAATTTCTGTGAGAAACACATAACTGGTGGCGTCAAGAGGTTGAAGGATGTTGATAGACATCTCAAATTACAGAAGAAAGGAAGCATTGATAATGAAATTGACCATTTACTTGTTGATGATTTACAATCTGATGATGAATGAGTTACTCCTAAGAATGTTAATGTTTCTGAAGTTAAAGCATAAACAAAAACTCATGTCAATGAATACAATGAAACAACTACTCATGTTTATAAAAGAAAGAAATAAAGTGAGATTGGAGCTTCTAAAAAATTCAAAGGTATTCTTAAATATAATGAATTATTTTTTATGCTATTATTGTTTCATTATATAGCTAATGAAATATTAACTGATATAGGGGATAAAGAAAAAAATATTATAGATGAAGAAAAGTTTGATGATGACTTTGACATTAATTATGAAGATTCTTCTGAAAACAATCAAAGTGATAATGAGCCTACATTGGATCTTGATCCTAAAGGGATGTTTTATTTTTAAGTGAGTTTATTTTAAATCTTCTTTTCCAGTAATATACTAATATTATCTTAGAAAAAACCATCAAATTCATAATTGACATAATATTTTGTTATTTTTGTCATTATTCATAATTTTAAATTACTTTATTTTTATTATTTTTGAGGCTTACGCCTCGAGGCTTATGCCTCGCCTCACTTCATTTAGCCAAAACGCCTCAATTCCCGATTTTGCCTTTTAAAACGTTGCAACGAGCAACTTCAGCAAGAATCTTCAATAAAAATGAAGAGCGCATAATTCATAGCCTGTGACTTATGAAGTCAATCCAAGATGCTTTGAGTGGGCCTATAGGGGCGAGGGCAAGTTGGCAATAATCCCGAGGAATCTTCCGGCTCAACAGCTCGTCCTAGAAACCAGAGCGTCCTAGAAACCAGAGAGAGCACTGGCTTCAACACCCATTCCCAACTACACTTGCATTAGGATGAGTGATGAAGACTACAGCCCACCAGCTAGGTAGGTTAAAGGAGAAAAGCCCAAATCCACCAATGCCTTCTCAAGGGCAATCACTAAGCAAGGCCACCTCAAAAATTCAAAGCGCCTCACTTAGAGTCGTATAGAAAAAATGATCCCACGGATCTTGTGAAAACTTTCAATCCACTAACCCCTTTGCTGGATATTGATGATACACTTGAGTGTCGGCTTTTCTTTGCCACACTTAAGGAGTCATCTCTCAGATGTTTCACTTGCCTACTGTTGGAAATGATCACCACTTTTTTGAGTTTAAGAGAATGTTCACTACTCAATTTGCCAGCTTCCAGAATTCACAAAAGAGCTCACAAGATCGATTGAAGATGAGACAGAAAGCAGAGTCATTAAGGAGCTTTATAATGAGGTTCTAGAAAAAATTGGAAGTAAAATAACCTTAAAATTGCAATCACCCAGGCCGCTTTGACCCAAAGGTTGAGAGGATTCATTCAATTATGCACTTGGCATACATCAGCCAAAAATGCTCACTAAACTACTGGAACTAGCAAACAGCCATGTTAATGCTAAAGAATACAATAGGGTGGATGAACCCTCCTCAACCACTCATCCCCACATGACTGCTGCAAGAAGAGAGCAACAATGGGGAAGAGATGAAGAAAGATTTCATCCCAGTGAAAATAGGGACAGAAGACATCGACATTTGAGTTATTGACCTCTCTAATATGTCTTCCATTTCCCCAAGTTACAGAATATCCCTGGCAATTGCTTGTGGTTTTCTTATAAGGTGTGCGCCATGCGAGCAAACTGAGCTTGTGATGGCTGATGTAGTTAAGAGTTTTATGAAGCCTCCAGGAATCCAACTTGTAGTTAGCAAGCAAGAGAAAAGCCTCCAGGAATACTCAAATATTAAGAAAAAAATGAAGGGGCAAGTCATCGAGTCGCCCGATGACTGTAGTGAAGAGTAGTGGAGTCGCCCTCTCACCCTTTCTTTTGGCATAGTATTTCTAGTAAGTTAATGCCAAGGGAGAGTGAACTTCTTCTCCTAACGGGAGATCGTCATGGCGTAGAGCACTACAAGGTTGGAGACTGAGCTTTTTCATGTGAAGGGCTCCTACAACAAGCCCGCCACTAATAGCATTGCTCCACCGCGAGTTGTTGAAGAAGTTAGAGGCAAGCAATGGACCAAGTGTTAAGCCACACTCGCTATTTTGTAACTTCTTTCTGTTTTGTCTCCTTAAAGGCGCTTACACATGTAACTGATTTTCAAGTGAAATAAACTAAAATAAAAATTTTTTGTTTAATTCTTTATATTTGTTCTATAAGATGGTTGTTAGACCTACAATGCTTTATGGCGCAAAATGTTGGTCATTAAAAGAGAAGCATAATATTAAGTTAAGTGTTGCAGAGATGAGGATGCTCTAGTGGATGAGTGGCTTTAGCTTTACTCTAAGAGACAGGATACGAAACGAGCAAACAAGTGAAAAAATTGGAGTAGCTCCAGTGATAGATAAGATTAGAGAGAGTCGCCTTAGATGGTTTAGTCACATAAAACGGCAGCCTTCCGATGAACCAGTTAAGAGAGTAGATGTATTAAATTTGACCTATGTTAAGAAAGATAGAAGTAAACCTAAAAAGACTTGGTTAAAAAGTATTAGAAATGGCTTTCTTTATTAGATATAAATGAGAATTTGACTCTTAACATGACACAATGAAGAAAAATGATTCATTTAGCCGAAACCACATAATAGTATAAAGGCTTGATGTTATTGTTGTTGTATTCTTTATATTTGTTCTCTCTTATTATATCTATTTCTAGCTTGAGCGCTCATTTCAGTTTATATTTTTCGAGGTATCGAGCAAGTTAGTCAGGTAAGTTATGAAATTCAAAAACACTCCTCGCCTAAGTTGAGCTAGTTCTTCTAGAAGAAGTTTTAGAAATTTAAACATGACTCATCATTAGTACTCGTCAGGTAAAAAGGAGTGGACCTAGTTAAAGCGGCAATAGTCCTTCGCCTGGGAGC